AGGGAGAGAGAGAGAGAGAGAGAGAGAGAGAGAGAGAGAGAGAGAGAGAGAGAGAGAGAGAGAGAAAGAGAGAAATGATGTAACATTACACAAACCTACCAGAGCAGACATCAGATTCCGCGTCTTTGATGAAGCCCACTTGACATCCACACGTGAAGCTGCCATTGTTGTTCACACACTCGCCAATGTCCGCACAGATATCTCCACTGCCGGAGTATATGCATTCGTCAATATCTGTAAGACATAGAAATGAACATGAGATCCCAACTCATTACCCTGATCTAACAAACACATTTGTCGGTATATGCAGGTATAACGGATAGTGCTAGAGGCTTACTGATATTGAGGATGATATGTCAATGTCTATAAGGTCATGTCTACGACAAATAAATAACAACAGAATGCGTACAAGGTAACATACTCACCATTGCATGTTACTCCATCGCCGGTGTAACCTGGGTTACNCACACACTACACGCACACACACACACACACACACACACACACACACACACACTCACACACACACACTCTCCCACACACACACACACTCACTCACGCACGCACGGACGGATATTAGACCCACTGAGTATACGGGTGTAATAATAACAACCCAACAAAACTTACCATAGCATACGCGATCTTTATTACGCACGCTGAGAGTGAAATCGGTGCTCTCGCGGTCCGATACCAGCACACAGACGATTACACTCACAATACTACAGTCTGCAACATAGAATACGCACATATATTCATACATTCGCATCTATTCTCGTATCTATTACGTTTAGTGAACCTGCTCATGATAAGCACATCACTCTATAAAACCTAAACTCGGTCACTTACCCTGGTAGTTAGGAGTAGTATCCACATGTTTATTATCAGGTGTATGTGTGCACAGCTCCTCATTCAAGACATTCAGTGGTTCATTTCCTGCAGTAGGATAAATCACATAATTGCGCCAGTATCGAACCTTCTTACGTCGCCATAGAGAAGGATCAAGCTAATGGCCAATGGAAGTAGGAGCAACCTGTAGCGATGGGGCGAGAGCTGTTAGTTTCTCCAGACGCTCATTTCAGTACTACAGACATCGATTTCTAACAGTAAATTTGGAAAATTAGTAAGTTACAATCGAGGTTTCATAGGGTTCGTAATTAAGCGTTCATAAATGACGGCTTTTTGTTGTATTAACTGATTTTGTGGTATTGATTCTTTGGCGGTAATGCATCCCCCTCTGAATTCGCACTTCTGAGTGTTTCTCATTGGCCATCATAACACTATAATAATAACTCATCATACTACACCTACCAATAATGGCTGAAAGATATCTACTCTTGCAACAACGTGGTAGGCCTATAGGCTGAGTCTGCTAACCCTGTTATATATTATCGAACTGTGGCGAGTATAAAAAGGTAATATAGGTAATATAGGTAAAAAGGTATTTAAACAAATAGGTTAAAGAAGACATGCGTGACTACATTACAGTGATAGTGCATGCATATACGTGTTAGAAATGCGACATAACATAGAGTCAACTCACCATCGTGACACATCAGAGGGCCGACAAAATGATGACCTTCCTTCTCATAATTGTCAGTGTCCCCAAAGGTGACACGAGTAATCGGGAGATGCAACTTGTTGGTAACAATTCCGAAGTCTTGCTTCCAATCGCTTTCGTAGTTAGCATCACAGTTGCAGCTTGAATAAAAGAAATTCTGTTTTATATAAAAGTGCGTTTAGTTGTATATGCTATACTTATATACGCGTGATATAAATAAACAAGAGCTCTACCCTTGCAGCTCTGTCGCGGAGCTAAAGATTATATATATATATATATATATATAT